TGTTAGTATTTGAAGTAGACAGGAAATTAAAGTCTTTTCAGGTCGGCTGCGGCTTCTCTGGAAAAGCTGGTTTTCATTTTTTTAGTTTTTACATGCTCTTCTGAGCTTCCCTTGCAAAATCCTGTAGTCAGTATAATTGTAATACTACACCTCTGTGGTGCCATCCATGTTTCCTTTTATTAGGTTAAAGGATCACACATGCATATATTTTAGGTTTTAGAAACACATCCGTTAGATGGAAAGTTCAATTAGTAAGGTGTCAAGATAACGTGGAATATGTTGACTGTTTGCTCACCATCCTTGTTACTGACGATTCGCACGATCGCGTGAACTTTCGTTATCAGGTTCAATATCAAAACAATTGATAAGAGAATGAAGACAATGATCAGGGTAATGAAGAGCATGTAGAACACCCATGAGCTTGGTACCTTAAAATCTTTCGATGATTATTCAAATTACATATTATTCACGGCAAATAAGAAAAGCAGAGAATGGAGTTAGGGTTGCTCATCTCTCTCGTACTAAAGCATAACCGTATGGCTACTGCCATACAGTGTTTGTTAGTTGACTTGAGTTAAATTGAGAAAAACTCATTGGGCATGTGTTTGGTTGTTGATGGAAGGCATTTCGTTGAGTAGAATCAATAACATGATGATACCTTCACTGATTTGATGGGTGTGGTGCACTAGGATCGAAACCGTCGCGTCGTGGTGATAGGGACGCCGCGCGCTAAGGAATGTAGTAGAATGCAGCAGCAGGTAAGAAATACAGTAAAAAAAGAACTAACAGTAGAATCATGTCTATATAATGATCACATATCGATTGAGCTGTATGGGAACGCTAGAGCTGTAATCCTCAGAGAACGAAGCGAATGGTACGCGACGGCCGCGTGCGGCGAATGGATTACACAAAACCTATCCTACTGCCCGTCTCCCTTGATTTNGGCGCTTTTCTTTTGGAGTGAAGCGAGTAAAAATATGAACAGTTGGGAAAATTACAAAACTCCATTCCCCGATTCTTCAAGGAAACGAGGTAAAGCACTATTTTTCTTTTCTTTTTTGCTCGAATTATTATACCTGTGAAACGGAGTCTCCAACTTGATAAGTTACCGAACCAGCATCTTTCGCGATGTTTGCCACTGCCTGAAAAGTAGATTCACTGAAGATATGTGCGAAATTAGACGCTATCAGCAATGGCAACCTCATCTCATTATATTCAAATGTTCAGTTAATTTCCAAGTCACCAATAGGACTATCGAATTAAAAGTCATTCCCAGAGGCATATGCGACTTTGTTTGGTTGAATGAGCTGATGTCCCGACAACATAGTCTTCTCCTACCTTTTCTCAGTAAAACGTGAATGATCAGATGAAGGATAAAGGACAAAGTTTTGGGGCGTTAATCAATCCCGTCTGAGAGATGCGATGACTACTGATCAGGGTGGCTACAGACTAGCCCCTTCAAGACGTCAAACGAACACCCATGTGATAACCAGCAGGATGGTCAAACTTCTTCACGCTCTGAACGGTAGGAATGCTATGCGTTCTGCCTCTTGAGAGACGAGGATTCCCTGGACTACAAAAGTCATGTGTAGGTTTGAATCACGATTCATTCAATTTAACTTAACCTTGCATGGCAGGATCTACTTGGTTTTATTTCTCTCGCCTAGTATACCTTAATTAGGCAAGTTTTTCAAGGATACATTCATCGTGGAGGTACTCACCTGATCAAAGTTGTCCAGCGTAAGATTAATCCTACTTGTGATTCCATTAATTTGTCCATTTATATGTTCTACCAAACTGCTCAGTTGTGCTAATGTTCCACTAAGTTCTGATATCGTCTGATCTACTGACATCCCTGCAAAAGATTTAAGCTCAGCATTACTTTTTCTTGCCATCATAGAGTAAGCAAAGTGCATGAGGTTACGTTAGCGAACGAGGCGAACGACTAAATGAAGCACATCATAAAGAAAGAATAACAAATGTTAAGGTTATCAAGGAGAACAGATAGCAAAAGTTGATAAAATCGACGGGAATTCGAAAACAATTGTAAATATTTTTGAGTTGCACAGCATTAGACATGGCAATGGATACCATTCGACTACTCTGATATCCCATTTAGTTTTTCAATGCGTCTTGACTTCTGACAGTTGTTGGCCTTTCAAATATCTTACTCCTAGAAGAGGAAGACAATGATGTGCTCTGAAGCCGCCACACACTCAACACGGCTCTCAAAGCGAGTGGATCCAGCTCAGCCCGTTAGCAAGTGATGAGGTAGGACTAAAATTCATGGCAGACCCTACGAAAATAGTTATGTGAAAGAAAATACGAACGTATCTCTGAAAGCAGACAGTTTAGTATGTTTATTTACTTCTTCGTTTGTTTATTTGCTTGGTTGTTTTGTTATCTGGTTTGCTATTGACTTGCCCAGCTGCGCTATTAAAAACCTTTAGGTCAACTTGCAAAAGCAGATGTAGAGCATGTATGGAACTTTGGAAAAAAAGATCTCAATCGACAAAAACAGAAAAGATAGATACCAGCTTACAGTGGAACATATTCAATAATTGAATATTTGTTCGTTTCAATGCGTTACTCAGTCGAGCTTCAATACTAAATGTGTTGGGATAATCAATCCCGATAACGCATCGCATAATTGAAGCAAAAGATCCTGGAATTTTCAGCTAGAGCAGTTCCAGAACGTTGGTTCTAAAGTTTTCTGACAGATAAACTTTTAGCATAAGCGCTTTGGGAGCAAGTTATAACAAAAATCAAATGGAGTCCTTCTTACTCCTTCTTACTAATGCCTTTGACTGGAACACACCGGAAATGGCCAAGTAGCTCCCTCAACTGAGCTAATAGGTATGAAATTAGTACAAAGAGAAAAATACAAGAAAAATAAAAGCGTATGTGTTGCCGATTTCTGAAATGACTCGTTGAAAGAGTAAACTCTCAGTAACGGTTATAACTAATAGGGAATCTTCGAATCATTTTCGAACAAAGGCAACCGATTGCATTCCAAGGGGTGGCAGGCTGGTAAATAAGGACGAACTAATATGCAAAAAAGCCGGGGGACATTTTAGACTGGAAGACTGTCTTGAAGGTACTCTAGTCGAACGGGATCTCAGTTGCTTTCCAATTTCCATTCCTTGAAGAAATCAAAGAGGCCGAAGGTAGGCTCGGTAAAGCTATGTACTCTTGGAAGGTCAATGCACACTCGACTAGAGGGACGTGTTAGAATTCCTATGCTTTGCTCAGCCTCTGCCTCATCCAAGACTGGAGGATATTCTGCCTTTGCTACTAAACTATCTATTTATATCCTCACGAGAATACCTTCTTGCACATCCACATATTCAAATTACAGCTAGACACCTCTCTAAGACGATTAATTGTGGTAGGTACGGCATGGGGCTTAACCATTGGCAAGGAGTTGGGGCGCTCTGTAAGGGATGCATCCGGGATAGGTTGTCCGTAGATTCACAAGTACAAAGTTACAACTTATTCCCAGGTTGACTTCAGCTTGATTTCGATGCAACTCGCAATCGAAATCACTGGAAAAATCGCAAAGCAAAAGTCTCTTGGGTCACAAACAAAGTCGGCGGCTCGATTTGACAAAGTCATCAATGAATTATTCAGCCAACAAATGACAGAGAATGTTAAATTTTCTACAGTATGCAAGAGCACAAGTTGCAAATAACTAATTTTCCAAGCGATGGCCATAATCCTTGAAGGATACAGTGGAGCAGTTCTGGAATGCTCTCGATAGTGCTGTGCCACGTACAAATAGCATTCACAAGGTGAAATGAAAGGTACTCAAAAGAAATGAAGTGAACTCATATGAAAAACCTCTTCAACTGAGCCTCATCACTATATACCAGATCGACATTTTCTAGAGAGAACAAAGAAAAAATGAGCTTTGCACACGAAAATGCGTGAGTCCTTGCCTTGTGTAACGAAAAACTGTTTTATCATTAAATTCAAGGATTCAAAAAGGTCTTTCAACTGGTAACCGGATCTTTAACAATTGCTCCTACGAAAGACGTCACCACGCGAATGAGTCGTTTGCGAATAGGAATAGCAGTGTGCGCAGTGAGTAATGCCGGATTCAGGTGAATCATCTTGAGGGTCCGGGGGTCAGGATTAGGGGAAGAAGAGGCGGCAAGTTACTGTTTACACTTTCGGAAATCACCTCACGTTGCTCATTTCTCAATCAGTGGTTCCCAGTAGCTTGGCTCTGCTTCCAAAGCTCGGAAATACGATAGCGATCTACTGCTGCTTCAACTGGTTATTTTTCGTCCACGAGAAATGCAAGTATTTGACTAGACCATCGATAACTTTTCGCTGTGGAGTTATGTCCATAGCGTTCGATCGAGAAGAAGCAGTCAAGCAGCAATAGGCTGGATTTTTTGGACTTGATGCAGACAAGCAACGTCGAACACACTGGTTGAGAACCATTGATTGTCGTCAACAAGAAATCCCTATGTAAAATAGTGAGCAAATTTCCCACAGAGCGATTTAGTGTCGAAAACTTTACCATCACTCTCGAAGCTCGAGATACATTGAGAGACATTCGGAATTAGACATCAGGGTGAGCAAAAATAAGGAGGATTCTCGCAAGGTTGGCGATTTGTGGGCAAAACTCCAGTCTCGGACGGGACTAGCACCCGTACTTGTCCTTTCCGGGGACCGTGCTCTTATCCCTCACACTACCTAG